CATTCCTGTAACCATTCACACGTTTTAATAAACCGACTCAAGTTTTCTTTAAAAGAACAAAGTTTAGTTTATTTTGTGAGTGAACAAACATAACAGTTTTTGGCGACGAGGATTATGGAAGGTCTCCGTGAGATATTAACGCCGTTGTTGCAACAGCAACAGAAGCAACAGCAGCAGTTTCAGCAGATGATGCAGCAGCAGTTTATTGCTCAGCAACAGGAATTTGCGAAACACATCGCCAAGATTCTCAATGCTCCTTCATCCGCACCTGTAGACCTGGAAACTAAAATGGATGCGTTAGCCAATTCAATCACAGAATTTATTTACGATCCGGAGAATGGTTTGACTTTCGATGCATGGTATGTACGTTACCGAGGATTATTTTCTGTTGATGCCCATGCATTAGACGACGCAGCAAAGGTCAGATTACTCCTACGTAAATTAAGCATGACAGTTCACACGAAGTATGTTAACTACATCTTGCCAAAAGAATATACAGATTTCGATTTTGCAAATACAGTAAAAAATCTTACCGAAATGTTTGGTAAGAAAATATCGCGTTTTTATCAGCGATATAATTGCCTTAATGCGTCGAAATTAGATCAACACAATTTCTTAACATATGCTGGCTTGGTTAACAAACGGTGTGAAGAGTTTCAAATCTCGACAACTACTGCAGATCAATTTAAATGTTTAATGTTTATTTGTGGACTACGTTCTCCATCAGATACTGACATTAGAACCAAGTTATTACACTTAATTGATATTAAGTCAGACTCGCTTACCGTTCAAGATTTAGCCGTCGAATGTCAACGAATGGTTAATCTTAAACAGGATAATTCGATGGTGCAAAATCGAACCACAGACGTTGGGACGGTTGCTCTTGTGCAATCTAAAAATTTCCATGAAAAAGGGAAGTTTAAAAATGGTCAGAAGGAGCAGGGTAAATTTAACAAAAACAAAAAAAATTTATCTGACAAAAAACCTTCGACACCTTGCTGGTTTTGCGGTAACTTACATTTCTCCAAAGACTGTACTTTTAAAACACACAAGTGTTAAAAATGTAAAGTTGTCGGTCATAGAGATGGTTATTGCGCGTCCAGTAAGAAAGTTAAACCCAAGTCTGGTGATGAAAGCTCTGAAACAAGCGTCAAGACAATTCATTCAGTCAATCAGATTTTAACTGGTTCGAGTCGGAAATATATTGATATTTTAATTAATTCAAAGCCT